AACAGCTGTGGACAAAGATAGAAACGAATGAAAACAAGAAAGAAATTTAAGTAAGCAATATAAATTAACACTAACAATTGCACTATTTAAAATGAAGCATAAAAGCAAATTGAAAATGAGTCGGCGGAATAAATTAGGATTAGCCAAAGTAATTTTAAATAAATTAAAGTAAATTTCAATTGCTGTAATAGTACAATATAACAGTGATAACTATCCTGACTGATCATTTAATTCAGATAATTTCACCACAAAGTTTTAAGTATTATATAAATTAAACAAATTTCTAAGAGCACGAAAGCACAGCTGTACACGAGAAAAGTTGCCAGATGCTTCTAGAATAGCAATAATAAATAATAATTGATCAACACTTCATAACTCGAAGTTTTATTTATTTTCTCGCACAAATTTCGAACCATTTGATATTTCAAATACTCGACAGTTCGTAATATTTTAAAAGAGTTTTGAATTAACGAGAGTTGACTGTGTATATTTTCTTTATCTGGGTTCGTACACACCCATTTTAACTCCGAAATCGGGTTATGCTATTTGAAAATTTACCCGAATTAGGTTGGTTATTTCAGTTGTCAGCTCTTAGATTTTCATCATGAAAAGAGATAAATATCTTTCTCTCTTTCTTTTTAACTGTGCCGGAGAGGAATGAGTTTTGCTTCTGAAGGTTTGAAATTTCCCACAGATTTGAATCTTTTATATATGGGTCAAGAATATGTTGAAATTTGACTAAGTAGATATATTAGAATTATCTGGTAGGGTATATTCAAAGGATTCTAGAGTTTGCTTAGGGAGTTTCGAACTACAAAGGTATATTATTTTCGGATTCCTACTTTTTGTGCCAACCTCAAGATATGTTCAATTGGTTAAAACATTATTAAGCGTTGGTTGCAAGCTTTTTCTTCAATTGAGTGTTTGCCTTTATTCTTTTATTTTCTTACTGATCGACCAAATTTTTCCTCCCAATTGTGAAAACATCACTAGTTAAGGGTGCATTTTGAATTGTTTCTCTAAGCAACATGGAAGAGTTTTTCAATGTTACTTATCCTTCTCCGAATAGCATCATATGCCTGTTTAGCTTAATCGTAAAGCGAATTGAATTAAAATTTTTTAATTTCTAGAGTGTAGACCGATTCTTCTTCAATTTGGTTCGGGAGATGGTCTTCCACGAATTCGATTAAAGCGGTTGGGGTAATCTTAACTCTCCATTTAAGTGATTTGGGGAAGAGTTTATTGAAAAGTTGTTAAAATCTGCGAAGGTTGCCAATTGTTATTTTTGTTTTTTTTTTTTTGCACTTCTCTTGGGGAAGTATATGTGTACAAATATGTTTGTAAATATGTAAATAGATGTTGCAAAGCAAGATTTGTCAAATACCAAAAGCAAATAAGAACACAATTTGAAAATTATTTTGGTTTGCCCTTTAAATTTTAATTTTATGTATATATATAAAAGAAAGTGACGTTAGTTACTACGCTTATAACTGGAGAACGGCTGGACCGATTTCGGTGACTACTACCAACTCGGACAGGTCTCCGCCCAAACATGGAGAATACGTAAGAAAAGTCTGGAAAATTTTCCGAAAAAAAATATGAATAAAATAAATTTTCAAATACGATTTTAAAGAGGAAATAAAAACGAACATGATTTTAAATGATGTATTGCCAGTAGATGGCGTTGTGTGCATCAACTTTTGACAACTGCATGCACAGTTGGCAACTCACGCAAGATGCAATGACATATGAGACTTGAGTTTAGTAACATAAATATCGGCATTTTCTAAGGCTTTTATCGGCTTTCGTTTGGTATTGTAATTCAATTTGATTTAATACATTATATTGAAACGATATATTAGCCGTGTTTTATTGGTAATTTTATGTTCACTGCTATTGTGAAAATTGCAAGCGAAAAGTGATTTCATAGAGGTGAGTTCAGTTTGATGAAATGCTCAATGTTATTGCGGGCTCATCGATAATCAACCCAAATGTTAATTTCGGGTTGTTCAAATTAATTTTTAGGTGGAATACTTTGAAAATCAATTCGAGTTCGCTGTTCGTTTCATTCTGTTGATCATATTGGTGTGGAATTCTATTTTTAAACGGTAAGTTGCCAAGAARGATGTATATTTTGAGAGATTATGACATTTGAGCACATGTTTTGTRTGTTCATTTCTCAGTGTAATTCAGAATGCCACGAGCCAAAAGATCTAATCTTTCGCATCGAACGCGAAATGAAAATAGAGTTCGGAATATTGCCTATCAATTGACGACGGATGAACAAGAAATCGCACGAGAACAGCGCCGTGTTAGTATGGCCCGACTTCGTGCATTAGAAACACAAGAAGAAAGACAGGCGGAAAATGAAATCTAAATCAACGCATAAGAAGAAGCTCTTCAAGTGTTGTTTTGGATCGAGTAGCGTTTCATTACGATTGCAGAATTGACTACAGCTCGCGTCCTTCCGTTAAAATTCATCCAATGGAGGTTGTGTGCAACCATTGCGGTGCATTGAAGTTCGCTGGAGAAACACCTGGACTGTGTTGTCTCAGTGGCAAGGTTAAATTACCACCATTGCCCTTGCCAACAGAGCCATTGCGTTCTTTGCTTAATGGTGAAACACCACAATCACGTCATTTTCTATCGAATGCTCAGAAATACAACAGATACTTTCAAATTACTTCATTTGGAGCTGATATTATTCATGAACGCGGATTCAATCCGACATTCAAGGTAATAAATTAACCGATAATTTTCTTTTGATGCACAAGAAATATTGAATCTAATTTCGTAACTGACTCTACAGATCCAAGGCCAAATTGATCATCGAATTGGATCATTGCTACCACTTGAAGACGCACAACATAAATTCCTTCAAATTACTTCATCGGCAATATGGAACATCAACTTGATCAGCGCCAAACAATCAATACGGAAATGAGAAGAGGAATTCTTCGCGATTTGCAGCAGCTGCTTCCTGAACATCATGCATTGGTTCGGTTATTCAAGACTGCGTTGGATCGCATGCCAAATGATGACTATAAAGTCGTGATCAGAGCGGATAAACGACCTGCTGGAACACACGAACGCCAATTGAACGCTCCAACAATAGATAAGGTTGCAGTTGTGATTGTTGGCGAAAGCCGGGAATCACGCGATATTGTGCTCACACGTCGGAACTCTGGGCAATTGCAACGAATATCCGAAACTCATCGTTCATACAATGCATTGCAATACCCACTGATGTTTTGGCAAGGAGACGATATTATATGATATATTATATCAACATCAATATGATAAATCCATTGACCGGTAAGAATATATATCACTGATATCATTTTAGGTGAGGAAACTACCAGGAAGGTCAGCGGAATGAATTTTTCAGCAATTTTGCGTCAATATGTATAACGTTCGTTGGCAGTCTACGTGATATGTATGAATATACGCAAGATGCAATGACATATGTACGTCATTACGGCCGTCCAGACCTGTTCATCACCTTAACGTGCAATCCTAAGTGGATAGAAATTTCAACTGCTGCTTCCTGGCCAAACATTAAGTGAACGGCACGATATCACCGCACGTGTATTCAGGCAAAAAATCCGGTCGCTCATGCACTATATTGTTAGGTATCGTGTCTTTGGGGATACTGGATGTTGGATGTATTCCACTGAATGGCAAAAAAGAGGCTTACCGCATGCGCACATTCTCATTTGGTTAGCCGAAGGAATGAATGCAGCCAGACCAAAATTGATGCCATCATATTTGTCGAGATTTCTGATCCCGAAACCGATCCAGACCTGCATGATRTCGTAATTACAAACATGATTCATGGACCGTGTGGCGCCATTAACTCACAATCACCGTGCATGGTCGACGGCAAGTGTTCCAAGCATTATCCACAARATTTGACTGCTGATACCATCACTGACAAAGATGGTTATCCACTGTATCGACGTCGATCTTTTGATGATGACGGTAGAACAATCACAGTCAGGGGCGCATTATAACGTGGAGTACTGCAATCCAGTGAAGTCCATCAAGTACATCTGCAAATATATCACCAAGGGCAGTGACATGGCGGCTTTTGATCTTCAAGCTCCTGACCGCAATGATGAAATCACGCGCTATCAAATTGGTCGATGCGTATGCTGCAATGAGGCGATTTGGCGTATATTCTCATTTCCCATTCATGAACGCTATCCGAGTGCATCTGGAGAACGGTCAACGAGTTTATTTCATCCCAGCAAATGCCGCTCAACGTGCTCAAAACCCACCAGCGACAACATTGACTAGTTTCTTCTCGACTTGCCAAAGTGATCCGTTTGCACGTGCGTTACTTCACTCGTCGAAAGCAAGGTAATGTAGTTCCTGGTCATCCGGATGTGCATTCTATTGAAGCTCTTGGCCGTATTTATACAGTTCACCCGAAAAATGATGAATGCTTTTACTTACGACTATTGCTGGTGAATGTTCGTGGCCTGACATCATTTGAATCACTTCGAACTGTCAATGGTGTAGTGCTGCCAACACTTTCGTGTTGCATGTCAGGAGCTCAATTTGCTGGAATACGCATTGGGACACGACAATCGCTGAAGCAACTGTTTCCGCATATTCAAATCAGATACGCACATAATTTGCGATCATTATTTCCACATGTTTTCCATCGAATCCACGTGAATTGTGGGAGAATTACGAGGATGATATGTCAGAAGACATTTTGCATCGAGTTCGTGTCCATTCAGAGAATCCCCATCTTGATATGAATGAAGAGATGCACAACCACACTTTGGTTTTGATAGAAGACATGTGTTACCTCATGTGCGGCAGTTTGTTAGCCAGGTTAGTAATGACGTCGCCTGATCCTGGAGTAAACGACGCTTACGAACGAGAATTGCAGCGTGAACGTGAATACGACACAAATGCATTAAGCCAATTGGTTCGAACGAACGGATTCATTGTTGAATCCTCAACAAAAAGATGTGTACGATACGGTGATGAAGGCAATTGATAATGGAAATGTCGGCATGATTTTCCTTGATGCGCCTGGTGGAACTGGAAAGACATTCCTCATATCATTGATTTTGGCTGCAGTTCGTGCAAAATCAGAAATTGCTGTAGCAGTTGCTTCTTCTGGAATAGCGGCAACGATGTTGAAAGGTTACCGAACCGCTCATTCTGCATTAAAATTGCCATTAAAACTGCAAGCGGTTGAAGATCCGAAATGTAACATAGCGAAACATTCCGCAATGGCCAAAGTTTTGGTAGCAAGCAAAATCATTATCTGGGACGAATGCACAATGTCGCATAAACGCGCGTTAGAAGCTCTGAATCGCACTATGAAAGATCTGCGTAATGACGCAAGACATTTTGGGGGTGCATTGATTTTASTCTCAGTCGATTTCCGGCAAACACTACCAGTAATACCACGATCGACCGCTGCCGATGAGATCAATGCTTGCCTCAAATCATCACCATTGTGGCGTTATGTGTGGAAACTCCAGCTGACGACAAACATGCGAGTTGCATTGCTAAAGGATTCATCTGTCAAACTGTTCTCCAATCAACTGCTAACTATCGGTAATGGTCATGTTCCTGTCGACGCATCGAATAGATTCATTTCGTTCCCGCCAAATTTTTGCAATTTCATCTCAACGAAAGAGGAGCTCATCAACAAAGTGTTTCCGAACATCATTGCTAACCACAAAAACTACGATTGGTTGAACGAAAGAATAATTTTAGGATGTGGATCACTTAAACATCAAAATTCAAAATCAAATCGATGGGACACTGTTTTCCTTCAAATCTATCGACTGTTTAACAAATGAAGTCGAAGCAACCAACTACCCAACTGAGTTTTTGAATTCATTGGATGTGCCTGGCTTGTCACCGCACAATTTACAATTGAAGGTTGGTTCAGTCGTCGAAGTTCTCATTGCGAGAATTCCAATGATCCCAACCGATATKCCATTCGAGTTTAAGCGAATCCAATTTCCAATTCGTCTCGCTTTCGCCATGACAATAAATAAATCACAAGGCCAATCATTGAGTCTTTGTTGCCTGAATCTGGAAAATGCATGTTTTTCACACGTACAACTGTATGTCGCATGTTCCCGAGTTGGAAAACTATCTTCTTTGATCCTTTTCGCACTTGACAACAAAACGAAAAATATCGTTTATCACAGAGTGCTTCAACTAWATTACCTAAAAATAATTTATATGGCAAAACAACGTTTGCCGGGTCAGATAGTACATACATATGTAAAAATAAGTTGGCTTTTGGTCTGTTTGCCATAGCTGACTTTGCACGAAATGAAAAATGGCTTGAACCTCTTTGAAGGGAATCCAAAGAGGATGTTTTCAGAAAATGGTTAACTATTAACCGACTTACGAGCGTAAATTCAAAAAAAAAAAAAAAAAAAAACATAAATTACTTACTTATAACCGCGAATGTTAAATCTATACAAAGAATGTTATTAAATACAAGTATTTAGCTAAGCTAACAACGACAGGGGCGAGTAAATTCTAAAAGGTAAGAGTCAAACTGATTGGAACTTCATTGCAATACCAAAAGCTCCGTCAGGATCGGGAAGGACCTACAATACCAATAGAAAATGTAACTCTTTTTTATTTTTTGGCATCCAGTACGAACAGATTTGACACTTCATATGGATTTCCCGTTATATTTATAATATACGTGCTTATAATGAGATAATTTACATTAATTTCAATATGACTCGCACTGATACAAATTAGTGTGGCGATTTCACAAAAATGAAGCTCAACAGAACCCTAAACTGTAGTGAAATGAGGTTGAGGCTCCTGCGAAGCACAATATTTTGTTAAAAAATTACACAACCTACACAACATATATTTTTAAAGTTTAGAATTTTGTTAGAAATAAGCAAGATAATTCTAAATTTAAAAGCAAATATAAAAGCGCGGTCTTGGGGAAGGAATTCTTCCTGATCCAAGTTGAAGAAGTATTTCTAATATTTTGCTGGATAAGTCTCTAGGCCAAATAATCCATAGTTTAGGAATTTTAAAGATGCAGTATACCCTGACATCGAAAATTTGTACGAAAAGGAATTACATTCTAGGGAAATAGTCTCCCCCCAGGCTGACTGCCATAACATGTAATGGCTTTAAACAATTTAGTTCCAATTATGCTTTTGAGGACATTAAGCCCTCCAAGCAGGTTCAACAGGATGAGGCTGCTCATTAAGGAAGAATAACAATTTAATTTCTGCAATCTTTATCACCGGCTCAGCAGCTTGTCAATTAGCTCATATAGCGAGCATTCGAGAATTCCAATAATCCTAAGTGGTCTACTAATCTCATTTAATCGGCTTCAATTTCCGGTAAAAAAAATCTTTCACTCTAACCACAAACAAGTCCCAAATCCAAACTTTCGAATGTTTTAATCATGGCAAACTCTAAGTTCATCTATCGTGGGAAGAAGCTCTGACTAAAGAAATTATTTTCCAGGAGCAGAGTAAGTAAATTATATAGTAAAGGCCTTTTTACAAAAACTAAAAAAAAAAAAAAGGAAGGGCTAAGTTCGGGTGTCACCGAACATTTTGTACTCTCGCATGATAAAGCGATAAACGAGATTTCAGGCGTGGTTATGAACCGATTTCACCCATATTTGGTACATATCATCAGAGTGTTAAG